AAGCTTTTTAATAAGATGAGATCCCAGTTATTGATTCTTTGTGATATTTCCTGTGTGATTGCGTTTTTGTTCATAAAGTCTTTGTCTACACCAATGTCTTCAAGAGTTCTACCTATTTTATCTTCCAGCAGATTTAGTGTTTCTGTTTTGATACTCAGACCTTTGATCCATTTCAATTTTAGTTTAGTGCATGGTAAGAGATATGGGTCTAGTTTTAGTCTTTGGCATGTGACCAAGCCAGTTTTTTCAGCATCATTTATTAAAGAGTGGTAGCATCATTCATTATTACTGCTCCAGAAACCTTTTGGGGCATTTTTTCTATCTGATGTCCCATGAAATTTTAATATTACAAATATATATGTATATAAATATTTATATACACACACATATACATATATATACATATATTTTTACTTTACTTGTGCGTGCACTTAAGACACAAAAGAGTAAGATACTGCCTTCAGGGGATGATACTACCTTCACTGAAAAAGCAGTTTTGGGTAGGCAAAAACTAAAATAAAAAAGTAGGAAGAAATGCTTTTGAAGAGAAATTGAAAAAAAAGAGTAGAGTGTTTTAATTTCTTTCTAAAAACAAACACAGAATTATGCCCTGAGTTTCTTAGCAGCTGTTTTTCAGTGAGTTCATTCTACAGAGGTTTCAGATGACAATGGATTATATTACATTTTAAACTCAAGATAACCAGAGAAGACTGCTAATATATTAAGAGAAGGAAATTGATAGGCTTTCAATGAAACAAGATTGTTCAGACTTTTAAAAATACCTTCCACTGCTGACTGCTGATGAAAACTGACATCTTTCTAAATATTTAAAAGAAATAAATCAAATCATGGATCATGTGAAAATCCCACTTTATGTTTTTATATAGACTGTTAAGAGATATAGTTTTCTTTTCTTTATAAAATATTTTCAAACCATAAGCTTTAAGAGTAGCCAGACATAGTGGGGCATGCCTGTTATCCCAGCACTCTGGGAGGCTGAGTCAGGAGGATTGCAAGCTTAAGCTCAGCCTGGGCAACTTAGTGACTTAGCAAGCTCCTGGCTGAAAAATAAATAAATAAATAAAAAGAGGCTGGGGATGTGGCCCAGTGTGAAGACCCTGAATTCAATTCCCAGTACAAAAAGAAAAAAAAAGAAGCAGCCTATAATATTAGCTGTTAAAATGATAAAGAGACTAAGCCTAATTTTTAAAAGTATTACCTGGTGCTTGGCCTGATTATTATCAGAAAGAAATAAGAGCTTGGTGCAGAACTTTCATAAAGAAAAACTAGGTGAAGAACTAGAAGCTATAGAAGGAAGAGAGTACTGAGAAAGAGGCTTCAAACACTGTCACCGAGGCTAGCAAAGGACTGTGGGGGACCGGAAAATGCCACCCCCAAATGTGTCACTACTAAAAGGATTGTGGAGCTGAAGGCAATTAAGAAGCAAGTGTGGCAGAGTGCTCGCCTTGTATGTGTCAGGCCTTGAGTTTGATCCCCAGTACCTCATGCACACACACAATCATCAAGTGTAATTAACTAAAGGCCGAAGTTGTTTCAAGCTATATGCTTAAAAATAGACAGGGAAAAAATGTACAGTGTTACATGTGGTATAATTAACAATTCTGTCTTTAAGTCCCAAAAGAAAAGTCTACTTAACAAAGGATAAAACCATGAAAGGAAAAAAAAAAATCCTAGTTCTGTTCTCTGTCTCTGAAAAGTCTTGTGGGGAAAGAGCTGGAATTTTAGTTGAACACGCTTCCTTTTGTGGAGGAGGCATGTATACTCTCGCAGCTTTGCAGAAAGTCTGAGAGGATCTCCTGTCCATAGATGAATTTGGTAGCCATCCCTGGAATGTCACCATTAATGCATGAGCCATCTTCGTTAGAGACCTAAACCTCCCTGAAAGCAAGAGATGACAGTAAGAATTCATTATTTAGACCAAAGACTTCTCTGGGAAGAATGATTCAGATAACAGGAACACAGAGCATGAGAGGGGAGTTTCAGGAAAGACAGGAGCGTGGCAGTTCAAGTCTCAGGAGGGGAAGAAGGTGGAACTTTCTTGGGAGAATTGCAGAGCCCAGCATTACTAGGACTCGTGCTTCTGGCTGCCTCGGTAACATGATGGAGCAGTTCTGAGAGAGAACCAGGACAGACTCATTGAAACCAACCAAACGTACATATGCCAATAAATGTTGGGAGGGCAAAACATTCATCTAGGTTCTTTGCTACATCTGTAAATAGCAAACTCCAAATCTTTAGCACAAAGAGAAACTATGTGGCTACATACAACCCCCACTGCCAAAGACTGCTATGAGGTGGATAAAAAGGTAATCTATGAATACATTCATAAAATTTAATGACATCATTATGTTGGGCTACTTTGTGTTTTATTTGGCCCATCATTCACTTTGGGCTTTCCCATAAGCTTAGTTTTATCAGTTTTTAAATTAAAGATTGCTTGTAAAATGTGATTTGTTCCTCCATCCTATCGAGAATTAAATGAATAAAATGTTTAGTGAGAGAGTTATTCATATAAAAAAGATGATTAAGAGTAAATTGCAGCTTCTTCATTTGAAGGGCCAGGTATGGCCTCCCAGCCTAGTGAGTCAGTGAAACTGGGATCCCAAGTCACAGGGGGACCAAAGCTGAGTAAAGGTGATGTCGTCAGGGTACAGACCCAAATTCGATGGTTGGAGTCACTGGGCTCTAACAGTGGCACCGTTTCCATCTGGTGACCCATGGCTTATCTCCATTGGGATCTCATTCTTAACTGGTATAAACCTTGAGAAATAAATGATTTTATGCAAACCCAAATTAACAAAGTCACACCAAGTATCCGAGATGAGGATGTCAATTGATGCTAAGACCCTGATGAAACAGGAAACTTCTGAAAGTTGTTTTCTGAAGTATAAGAAGGAAAGGGATTCTTTTGCATATTTTGACTTTTGAGAATTTGGAACAGAAATGAGGCAAGGATTTTAAATCACAAGTATAATACTGAAGATAGGTGTTTAGGTATGTAGTACTTGAATGAGCCTGTGAAGAGCTTAACCTGCCTATAAATTTATTGTTTTAGATAAATATCATAATATTTGCTAGACTGTTTTGTCTTTCCTTCTTTCCCTCTTTCCTTCCTTCCTTCCCTCCCTCCTTCCTTCCTTCCTTCCCTTCCTTTCCCTTCCTTTCTCTTCTCTTTCTTTTCCTCCACTCCCCTTCCCTTCCCTTGTGCTGGGGATGGAACCTAGGGCCTTGGGCATGCTAAGCAAGCACTCTACCACTAAGTTATACACCCAGCCCTTGCTAGACCATCTCTAAATTGCAATCCCAGTTTCTTGCTTTTCATGTACCAGATATCAGTACATCATGATTACTTCTTATATGCTGTTTACACAGGGATTTCAGGAGTTTTGTTTGCTTTGAAAATCTGCACATGCAATACATCTTTAAGACACTAACTTAATTGTTTTGTTTTGGTTTTGGTACCGGGAATTGAACTCGGATCCTTGCGCTTGTGCAGGAGGCGGCAAAACCACTGAGCTAAATCCCTGGCCAACACTAACCTAATTTAACCATCAAAATGTTGTCCATATCTCCCGTAAAACTAACCACAGTTCCTAGGCTATGCTAAGTGTCAAGGTAGCATAGTGTGCGATAGGCCAGCAGTGGTATGTAGAGCTGGCTTGCTCTGGCTCCGAGAGCTGATTGTAGGCACTTTTCTCACCTCCACAATCTGTTATCAGGTTGGTAGATTGAAATTGGTCATGCAAAGAATGTTTATACCATAGAAATGGGAAAACCATATATTTAGGCCTCACTAAGCCCTAGGGAGCACACTACATAGGGGTGGATCTGAGCCAGAGTAGATGGGTGAGTACTTTCCCTAGGAGGGAATACATAGCAAGCATGGATTTCACCAAGCTGTGGGAAACTCAATGGGTAGCCCAAGGGTGGCACCAGTGTTCAGGAGCAGCTGCTGTTAGGCCGTTGCGACACCAGATGTGCCAAAAGAAAGCACAAAGACCCATGTTTCATTTAATCAAAATGCAAGCAAATGGGGTTATACTCCAGACTCTTGGTGCTCTCTGCTCAGCTTGCCACAGGAATTGAAGAAACAAAACATGCTGTTTAAGGGCCAGAGGCTGGGAAACTCCACGAAGCCGGGTTGAATGCAAGTCTGACGCTTCAGGGAAAAGCCAAATGCAAGCTCCCCTCCGAACATTTCCAATAACTACACCACTGCAGTCTACCTTCTTTCATAAATCATACACTTCTGGGTATTTGCAGCCTACAGAAATGAAAATAGGGAGGATGGCCCTTTCAATCACATGGAAATGGCTCCTGAATTGTCACGTATTTCTCCAGCCATTTCTGAGCCCTCCCCTCGCTGGCTAGAAGAGTCCATGGGAACGGTGTGTAACCACTCATTCAACAGCTTTGAGGGGAGCCCATTTTCCCTGAGCGGCCAGCTAACTTCGGCTTACCTTTAATATCCAGGTGGCTGGAGAGCTGCTCGAGAACTAGAAGAAGACAAAGAAGAGACTGGAGTCAGCACAGCTGTCCATCTGACCTGGGGAAGGCTAGGGGTTTTCACCTGAAACCCAGAAGCTGAGGTTTACCTTCAGCTGTCAGGTTAAACTCAGCAGTCACTTTGCCAAAACTGTTCTTGATGCAGCAGTAATAGAGACCCTGGTCCTTCTGACTGGCTTGAACGATGGCCAAAGACACGGCAGAGTTGTCCCCTGCGCTGTAATGGGGGACATCAATATTCACACACTTTGTCATTCTAATTTGCATTTTCCTAATACCCTGAAGGAAAAAGAAGCTAATGTTTCCTTGCCCTCATGTTTTCAGCCAATGGGCTGGCTAAAGAACAAGATGCTGGTAAACTGCCTAAGTAAATTGTTCATCCATAGGGTAGGATCATTGTAATTTGGTTTAATGTCCTCACTCCAACATCTGATATGAAAGCACAGAAACTTTCTGGAGGTTTAACTGCCATCAGCAGAGGCAAGGATGGGAACTGTAAATCCTGAGGCTGTCAGTAACATATCTGTTAAGAATTCCCCTCAATTATGCTGCTAATCGAGGTGTCCTATGCTTGAAAGAAATCTGTTAACTCTAACCCAAACTGAAACTCAGATACAATAAGGATGCTTGAAACAAAAGAATGCTTTGCTTTACTGATGACCCTTTTAAGTAGTATACTCCCTTAGTGCATACCACCTATCCATCTACCCACTCAGTTTTCCTAGGTCTCAGCCCCTGTACTATGGATATAGAAACTAGTGGTGGTGGTAATGGTGGGTAATGGGGATGATGACAGCTAATGTGTATCGAGCACTTGGTGTGTAGCAGGCATTGTGCTAAAATCACTAAAGGGTCTATTTTATGTCATCCTCAGAAAAACCTAGCGAGAGAAGTACAATTACTATCCTCAGTTCATAGACAAGGAAACTAAAAGCCAAAAACTTAAACAAATGATCTTGACCTCACTAAGATACCTCCCTAAGTAAATTATGATTCCTCCCTCAAGTCTGGGATAGTCTGAATGAGGATTATAGCCACAATCTTTATTCCAAAGTCTCAAACAAAAACCTTTGTAGAAAAAATGATATTTAAAGAGTGTTTTAATTTTGTTCTATATAATGAATTTTGTTAAACACTCATCAATATTTTCTATGTGTGTTCAGTGTACATTTCAATCTGGGTTCAGTTAGAGTATCTTGAATTTGTCTCAGTTGTATGTTCAACAAAAGTATTCATTATCAGTTGGCTTTTCAATAGACTTCAAGTCTGATTTATACATGCCTCTTCTGGAATACACCCATGGCTTCAAACAAGGGCCACTAAATCATAGTGCTCCCTCCACTGAAGTGGCCCCTGGGCATATCCAGAATGTATGGTTATGACCGGATGTAAAAGAGTCCTGTTCTAAGTGGGAGATTGTCTGGCAGGACAATAAAGCTGCATTAGTGGGAGAAGATTATGAAATGTCCTCCAGGGCTCTACAGATCAGCACAACACTGCTCGGCATTGCAGTGGGTGCTCAAGATGCCTGTAGAAGGCCGGGGCTGAACTGGAAGGATTGTCCCTAGAGCATTTTCCTTGCTGCCTGGCAATTCTCTCATACTTGGCCCACAACCATGAAGACCACTGCCTTACCCTGTCTGTATCAGTCACTTGCACATAATTTAGAAAAATGACCAACACCCACAACTTAAAGGAGGAGTTTATTTGGCTCTTCCAGTGGGCTCAGTTCAAAGTTAGCTGGCTCCAAGATAGAAACAGCATGGTGGAAGGACATGCTCCCATGGCAGCCAGCAAGCAGAGAAAGCAAGAAGAGGAGCCAGAAACAAGAATCTACCCTTTTAGGTTACACCCTGTTGACTTGCCTCTTCTGATCAAGTCCACCTTCAAACGGCACAGTACGCTCTGAACTCATCAACAGACTGACTAATCCACTGATGAGTATAGCACCCCCATGATCCAATCACCTTCCAAACACAAGAGACTTCTGGGGTTGGGGGGGATTTTACACCTAAACCATAGTACCCTTGCTTCCACCCAAGGTTTTCCTCTGGGAGGAATGACTGAGGAGCGAAAGGCCCTGGATTCCAATTCTGAGGCTGTCGTTGGGCATGTTACTTAGTCTTCCACTCTCAGCTTCCTTGTATGTGGCACTGGGAAGAGCAGGATCACGTGTTAGATGTGTTGTGAGGAGTAATGACACCAGATATGTGAAGATTTAGCAAAGGACCTCTCATCTTGTGAGTGGTCATGCGCCACTAGTGTGGGAGCAGTAGCATTGCTAGGATTTTGTCATGAAAGAAATCACCTCTTCATATCCCAAAGAAGACTGCTATGTGCTCAGTACTGGGGGATTTCATGATGGGGGAGGGTACCACGAGCCTTGCCATTAAGGGGCATCTAATCTGGGAGGTGACGGATAAACAGAAAATGGCAATAAATGTGAGAAGCAACTTGTACCTTTTGAACAAAGACAGGAAAGCTAAGTTTCATATCCTGTTACCCTGGAAGGAATGAATATTTTTACATTTAGGGGAAATATGACCAAATGCTGACAGGGCAGAACAGGAATGGAAATTAGCTGTGAAGAAGTACGCAAAAGAAGCCTGTGCCTAGAGTGTAATCAAAAGAGTTAACTTTGCTAGAGGGAGAGGGGCCCAATCTGGAGACTTCTGAGAGAGCCCAGCACCCATTACCAGTCCTAAGGAGCCAGGGGCACTTGGCAGCACCCAATGCATACAATCCAGGCTGGGCTGAGAAGTCCTTCCTGAGGCTGCTCAGTGAGATCCTGTCTTCAGCAGCAGCCAGCCCATCATTTGCTAGTTGTCCAGCAGGAATGGCGTGACCTGTGCTCCAAGACCTTGCTCAGTGGCCAGCCAGCTCACTCCATGTGGACTCTTTCCAAAGCCCAGGGCCCTCAGAAGTGCCCCTCTCCCCAGAGTGGAGAGAGGGAACCAGGGGTACTGGAGGGCACCAGCTGGAGATCTCCATGGAGCCAGGACAAATCACTGCTATCCAAACAAGAAGAATATGCCTCTACTCTGTTCTTCTCAGTTTCCTCAAAGTCTACTAGTATTGCCTTGGGCCACAGAAAAGTTTTCTGACAACTAATTTCCAAACTAGCTTGATAAGTATCCAAACCTTGGATAAAGGGAAAGAATGATTGCATGTCCTTTGTAGGTCACTGTTTATCCATCTCACCTGAGGATTAATTAGTTACAGGAGACTGCTCCTGTGCTTGACTTTGCTATTTATCATTTACACAGAACCCCTGCAGCTACTCTTCAGTGATGAGTTAATGTGTAGCTTTCTGTGCAGTAGAAAAGATGACCTCCGAGGTTTATGATCTGTCTAACATTGACCACTTTTATAGCTATTTAAAAATGTAGTTCTGCATTCCTTTGTGATTGACTATATAAGTTTCTCAAATGTTCATTTGAGCAGCTTCACCATCTTACTGGTTTTCTCATTATTTGATGAATGCAAGACCTTTGCTACATGCTCGTATTACACTTCAGAGCTTTCACCTCTTTGAAAATTAAGCTTTGATAAGGGTTATTGTTTGGATGTTCACTGTCCCCCAAAAAGTCCCCAGAGTGGTGCTTTTTAGGAAGGTACTGTAGACTGTTAGGAGGAGGGGCCTAGTGGGAGGTCCTTAGGTCACCGAAGGCACCCCTCAAAGGGGATCAAGGGGCAGGCCCCTTTCTTTTGTTTCCTAGCCATGAGGTAAGCAGCTTTCTTGGCCACATGCTCCTCCTCATTGCCTTCCAGCACCCCAACCAGAGGCTCAAAGCAGTGGATTCACATGATTCTGGACTGACATCTCCAAAACTGTGAGCCAAATAAACCTTTTCTCTTTATAAGCTAATTGTCTCGGGCATTTCCTTATAGTAAAGCAAGTTAACACAAGGTGGTGAAATATTTCATGGAGGAGCATGTAAAAAGAAGTAGTGATGAGAGAAATTATCTAATATTTGAAAAAATGTAAATGATCTCTCAATATGCCAAGGATTTATGACTCCCAAACAGAAAGGAAATGGGTTCAACTAAGCTACTGACAATAAGAAATGAAACAAACATCACAAAGAATTTAAAGACCTTTAAACCTCACTAGTGACATATACTCCCTAGGGAGAGGTTAAGTTTCTATAAATATGCCTCAAATAGAAAAAGAATCTGGAAAATTCAAATGCCAAGTCTGGGCTTAGAGTAAGGCTGGTTAATTGAAAAATGCTGAAAAATCTGGTTAATTATTCTTGGCTGACAACTTCAGATAATAATTAGAATGAATTAATTAGTACTTTTTGATAAAGCTCTAGGAAACTCATTGATTTAAAAACCACACTACTTCTTTTCCATTTTAATTCTTTTTAAACCATACATAAGACAGGCAGGGTAATGGTGACATTTTAGGTCAAGTGGTTATTATATCAATCACAGTCCAATTAGATTTTCTGGAGTGATATTATTAGAAATGAAACTACAGCTCAAGTCTTCCAAGACTGCATTTGGGAAATAATTTCCAGACATATTGAATTAAGTTAAACAGCAGACATTATTTAATTTAATTAATAGGAAAACTCGGATTTTCTCTTTTAGTTTACTTGTGATGTGTCCCAGGAGTTGGGGAGCTGAACTGGAGCTTCCTGTGGCAGAGATAAGCTTCTGTGGGTTGAACGAATTATGCTGGTTTCCAATGAACCAGCTGATTGTTTCTAGAGTGTATCGGATGAAGCAAGAAGGTGCTTTAAAGAGCCATGAGTCAGACTTATCCCACACAAGGTCTTGGCAATGATTCTCACTCTCACCTCTCTCTCCTCTATTTCCTCTCCTGGGGTCTCCAAAACAAACAGGCCTTCCCATCTTGGGATGGTTGCTTGTCATCCTCACTAGGCATTACTTTTCTATAACTTCATGGATTGTTTTTCCTTTCAATTCACTTTCTTAGCTTTGTTTGACTTTTGTCATATTAATGGGAACTTATGAAACAGTAAAACACACCTAAGCAAAATTTATATTCCTACAGAAGACAGCTCTTTAACCTAGGAATCACAGACCCTCAGGCTAGAACATGATTTGATGTGTTTCTTCATTTTAAAACTCTAATGAAAGGTTCTATGACCTCCTAAGGACACAGAACTCAAGGCTGGCGGAACCAAGGAAAGAACCTTCCAAAGAATTCCTTGTCCAGACATCTGTGTTTCATTCTTACATTGCTTGAATACTGTGGGTGTGGAATCTCTTCAATTTGCCTTTTCACTTCCTATAACTTTTTATTTTATTTTACAACTTCACTAAGAAACAAGCAATCAACAATTGCAAAAAGCAACCAAGGGCTAATATCCCACCTTCTCTGAACTTGGGCTATTGACTTGGAATCTTTTGTCCACCAGATAGTAGAGTCTTCATGAATTTCTGCAAACTGGCAGCTCAATTTTACATTTCCAGAGTGGTCAGGGAACATCTCTGCTTGGATCTTTTTCAGTAATACTGGAGCTAGAAACAAGAGGTTTGTGGGTGAGTGCAGGCAAAAGACTTTCCCATTTCACTTCATTTCATTCTTAAAACAATCCTAAGGGACAGAGATAATACCCTGACTTTTATTTTTTTTGTACCAGGGATCAAACTCGAGACCTTGTGCTTGGAAGGCAGGCAGTGGTACCACTGAGCTAAACCCCCGGTCCCCCTAACTTATGAATCAGGAAACTGAATGTCTGAGATGAGGTGTGGCTTGCTTAAACATAAACAGTAGGAAAATGAACAATTCAGGCTAACAGAAAACTCCTGATTCTCATTACTTAAAATTCCTAGGGCAAGATCTGTAATTTTTAAAGTGAAATAGAACTTGAGAATTTTTTTTAAAGGAGTGGAGATGGGGCAGAATATGATACAAAGATTTTAATACTCGAGGAAAATAAAGATTCTTAAAAAATAATTACCAGATGATAATGGTCAAAATTAGAAACTGGAGATTCAAGAGTAGAACAAAATCTGGATTATTTAGGTAAGTCCCACAAATGTAAAAGGCAATTCAACAATAAATTATTTGTTGAATAACATTCATCCATAGCGTCGTCCCGTGAGTGTGTGTTCCACCCCCCCCACCCCCCCGTCACCAGTGTCTTTGTGAAGATGGATTGGAATGATGTCAGACATCACTCATTTGCAAAGGGACATCTACTTGAATGAAATAGGAACCATAGGAAAATGATTCTCGTAGGTTGGGCTGAGAACTTTGAATATTACCTCTTATTTTTAACCCTGATGAGAGCTTGGCTTGCTGGGCAAATGTATAATTAGACAGAGTTGCCGCTGGGTGGCAGTATAGACATTAGAACAAGACAAGAACAGCCCACTTGGCCAAACCGCCAGAACGATTTGGTAAACAAGGAAATTACTGGAGCCTAATGTCAGTTTATTACAACCCAAGTTCCATAACCACACAGCAAAGAATACATCATTACAAAACACCATGTAGTCTTCAATTAAGTATCACTATGGTAGATGTTTCCTCAAATTCCATAACTGTGAAACAGTTGATCTGTTAAGTGACTTCCCACTTCTCCTGAGTCCCAGCAGAGATTTGAAATGGTTGATCTGTTAAGTGAACTTCCCATTTCTCATGGGTCCCAGAGGAGATTAGGAAAGCAAAATGCATGTTTAAAAGCTAATTCTGTTCTTAGGATGTGATGGACAGGTTGGGTACCAAATCCCTCAACCAGAGAGTAGCTGAGACTACTAACAATATTACAGGAGCAAGTGCATCATCAGGAGCAATGGAATATACTAAATCTTTTTTGTGTGTGTGTGGTACCAGGGATTGAACTCAGGACCCTGTGCTTGCCAGGCAGTGTGGTGCCACTGAGCTATATCCCCTAATATACTAAATCTTTATTGATGGCAAACCTCATTTTGGTTCATTTGGCCCTATGGCTCCCACCCTGACTGAGATTCATCAGACACACAGCCTCAACTGCTTGGTTTAGAAAGTTTGACCAAGCCCACCTCCTCCTCTGGGCCATTTCCTCATAGGTCCTTCCAACACTATGCAGTATCTGTCTTCATGGGTGACTTGGGGACAACTAAATGTTCTTAAGGATGTAGTACATGTTGAACATAAAGAACATTTGGAGGTGGAGGGAGGGGCATTAAATGGGTGCAAAACAGAATGGCAGGCTTTTGGGACTGACTCTGACAAGGGGCTTTGGAAGCTTGGGAAGGATCTTGTTTTGAGAAAGAGAAATAGAAATGCAAAAGGGAAAAGAGACTCAGGAGTGTCGCTAGGTCTGGACAAATGCAGAAGGAAAATAACGGAGATATTTTTTGGTAAATATGAAATTTTCATTGTATAAGTTTTGGATGCCAAAAATAAAGGTTACTCAGTGTTTATTTTTTCAGAACCACCCAAATCACATCCAACTACGCCAGTGATGTGGTGAAGGAGGTATTAAATTTGGGGTGCTCTGGGGAGGACAGGGTGGGTACCAGACTGCTGGGAATACACAGACAAGGTACCACCAGGGTCTGAAGCATACTACCCAGAGTGCTGATGATGAGACCCAGGTCTCATAAAAGCCACCAGCACCAGAAGGAATGCAAACTGAAATTGCTGTGGCTTACACTGGAAAAACAAAACTAAAAGCCTTAGAGTGCTTGCTGGTAAAGTAGATTCTTAAAGAATTTGGTCATAGATAAAAACCTTTAATGGACAATTAGAAGATAATAAATTAAAAAGAAAAAGCAGGTCATTGTCAAGGTTAGACCCTACAAATGCTGCTGTCCCAAATGGTAAATGCCAGAAAAAACCCTTTATTTCTTGTTACCATTGGTGTTGGGTCTTATGCATGGATTAATGCACACAGCAGATTCTTATTAGATAAATCCTCGTTGTGCTCATTACCATATGTAATTGGTGTCACCATGTAAAATAGCAAGTCCTTAATAAACTAGTAATAAACTAGTGGCCAGGCAGTCCTTTGCCAGTCAGGTAGAGGCTCTCTCAGTGGAACAGCTGACATTGCTTTGTCGTCAGAGCAGGAAGCAGGAAGCCTGAAAGGGTGGCTGCCACTGCTCCAGGCATCTACTTTCCTATCTTTCCCTGGAAAGGAAATTCCCACAGCACACCAGAGAGGCTGGCCCCAGGGACAATTCCTCCACAGCTGGAAAGGACCTACCCAGATGTGAAAAAGCCACACCTGAGACCCAGTTCACTGTTGACTCAGAGGCACTCAGGTGAGGGTTCCCTGGCTGCTCCCTTACCAGACAGCTCCCACCTTCCAGTCAGAGAGGACAGGCTGGGTGTGCAAGAACCAGCTTCTAATACTAGGTTGGCACTGTGCTAAGTCTGAAACAATGATTTTTGTCTGAAATAAGTTCTTATTTAGTGGGCATGATACTTAGCATAGAAATGGCCTCATTTTAATTTAATAGTAATAATATTTTTTATTTTTAAATTTTTATTTATTTATTTATTTTGGTACCGGGGGATCGAACTTGGGTCCTTGCACTTGTGGAACAGGCGGAGAAACCACTGAGCTAAATCCCCGGCGCAGTAATAATATTTTTTAAATGGCCAAGCACCTTTCCTATTACTTTGCATTTTTATGCTGGGATGAGTCCTATTATCAGCACATCCAGTTTTACAGGTGAGGGAAAAGAGGTTCCCAGCAGTGAAGCATAGATTTGGACTCAAGTACCTGGACTCCTAATCTATACTCAAACTCACCGTGTTGCAGCTTCCTCCCCAAGGGCCTCAAAACACCCACCAAAACCTCCACTCTGAGTCTTTGCTTCTCAGTGGTCTCCATGGCCCAGCAGAGTTGGGAACAGTCCTTCACTGCCACTGAGCTGGCCTGTCCTGGACAAGTCTTTGGTCGTCACTACTCTGGGGCCTCTGGCAGGGCCACTGCCCTCAGTAACTCCTCCATTAGTCCACATTCACTTGTACGTGCCATCCCCAACCTGTTTTTTATTTTTCCTTTGAGACAGGGTCTTGCTAAGTCTCCACATTGCCCAGGCTGGTCTCAAACTTGTAATCCTCCTGCCTCAGCCTCCCAGAGTGTTGGGATTACAGGTGATGTTGCACACCCAGCTGCTTCATTCTCTTTAGATAGGTTTAAAAATATGTGGGCTAGCCAGGTATGTTGGCACACACCTGTAATACCAGCAGCCAGGAGGTTTAGACAGGACGAGCCCCTCCAATTCACGGTCAGACTAGGCTACATAGTGAGTTCAAGGCCATTCTGAACTAGTTAGCGAGGCTGTCTCAAAAAACAACAACAAGAAAAATATGTGGACCTAGGGCCTGGTTGATTACCTCCACACCGTTCAGAAGGTGATTTTATTTTTAATTCTTTTAGCAACAGGGACTGAGGACCATTTCAGGTGGGCAGGAAATAAAAATCACCAGCCTCCACATTCAAGGTCTTGGGTGAAAGAGGAGGATATTCCTCCTTCAGATCCAAAACAGCCGTGCTCTCTGCATTAGCACACACGGTTCACTGTCCTTGCTGCAGTGTCTTCTCTTCTGACCTCTGCCAGGTGGCTCAGGACGGGCAGGGGAGCTCTGAACTGAAAGAGCTGGTTGCCGGTTTATGGAATAAATCTGGGGCTGAACGATCCCTTAGGCAAAGTAAGAAGTAACTACAATTCAAAGGGCTTTAGCGCTTCCCCTGGTCAGAACCCTGAAGAGAGGCCCCAGAGGAGGTGAAACTGAGGTAGTGGGGAGGAGGAGTTGGAAGGAAATTTTATACTTACATTTGAAAGAGAAACCAAGTTTCAACGGAGCCATTTTTAATACAAATCAAGGATTAAAGAGGAAAATTCCAATTTGTACCAAAACATTTCTTTTCATAAATCCTGACTAATTAGCTACACTGATTAATGCTTCTGTTCATCTCTTTTAAATAGATTTTTTAGAAAGGATAATTACACAGAAAGGCATCTTAATCACACTCCCACCATCAAACACACCTACAGGCAGCCTTTATCAGCAATTCTCGGTGTCCTTTTCCCCACAGGTCACCTGGGAACTTGGGAGAAATGCAGATTATTTTATATACATATGTATGTATATACTGGGATTAAACCCAGGGCCTTCACACTTCCCAGTTTTCTTTCTTTCTTTCTCTTTCTTTCTTTCTTTCTTTCTTTTCTTTACTTTCTTTCTTTCCTTCCTTCCTTCCTTCCTTCCTTCCTTCCTTCCTTCCTCCTGACAGGGTCTCACAAAATCACTGCATTGCCCAGGCTCGGCATGAATTTACAATTCTCCTGCCTAAGCTTCCCAGACAGCTGCCATTGCAGGCATGTGCCACCACATCTGGTTTAGAGGTACAGATTCTTGAGCCCCACCTATCCCTCCACTAAATCAGAAACTGGCACAGGGCCCAACAATCTGAATTTCAGTGAGTTGCCAGTGAACTTGATGCATGTGGGTGAGAACCATGGACCTAAGTGCTTAAGCCACTCGGTCACCACCATGACATCAAATGTCCATATGGAGGGCACTCACCTGAATTGCAGAGGGCTCCAGAGGATGTAAGAGCTTCACACCTAGTCTTACACACCCAAACTTCAACAATGACAGAAGAAATAGAGCCTCACCTTTTTGTTCTCTTTTGCAAGGTGCCTTTTTCGGGTCTTTTTTCTCATCAGTGCGTGACAATGATTTTTCGAGTTTAGGAATCTTTCTAAGAAGACTCGAGTTCTTTCTGACATTTTCCTTCTCTTCCAATTTCAGTCTCAAGGCTGCCACCCTGGACAGTATTTTCTTCTTTACTCCCTCAGCTAAATGTCCACTTCCTGAAGGTTCTTGCTTCTTTCTAACTTCCTCTGACCTGGGCACTGTTGGTTGAGCACCCAGTAATTTGCCAGTCTGTGTGGCCACATGGCTGGGCTTCTCCTTCTCCCTTGGCTTTTTCCCACTGCCCAGGATGGAGCCCTTTTGCCATGGGTCCTGCAGGAACTCAGGGGCTTTCTCTGACTCACATTTTCCTGAAATGAATGCCGAAGTCATTGAGGTGGAGCCAGATGAGCTTGGGAGTTTGGGCTCCCCGGCTTGAGACTCCTCTCTTTTCAGTTCCTCAATTCTATGACTTATTGGAAAGTGTGTGGTGTTCCCTTCAGGAGATGAGGTGCAAGGCAATTGCATAAGATCACTAGAAGAGGGCACATGTTTCCCACACTCATTCTCAATAGTTCCCCTTTCCTTTGAGTCAGAAAATGCATACTGACGGTTACTGGGCTCAACCAAGTCATTTTCAGATTGATCAAGACTTTGGCCTGCAGAGCTGTGAGAAATAACCCCAACAGACACCTGAGTCATTATTGTAAGACTATCAGCAAGAGAAGAATTGGGGAAAGTAGATCCAGCTTTGTTCTCTGCACTGTGTCCAGCCTTCTCTGAGCTTCTGTCACTGCCCTCTTGCATTTGGCCAATGTTGCATGCACTTGGAATTCTTTGCTCACCTGCATTAGGACACGGGGCCTGCCAGATGGCAGGCTGGACCTCCACTTCTGCTTCACTATGTTGACTTTGTTCACCCTCTTCTCTCTTGCTATCTCCTTGGTTGATTCTGTTTTCATTTGGAATGTTCCCCCCGATATTTGGGGGACATGGAACTTGCAGAATGGCAGGTTGGACTTCAACTCTCTGGTCCAAGTTCCTGTCAGTCAATTGTCCCCCCTCTCTAATGACACCCAATGTGAAATCAGAAGTCTCTGGTTTCTCAGCCCTGGGGTACTCCATCCCACCTGTATCATCAACAGGATCAACAGAGGACTCTAGGATTCCAGGGAAGGCCAGAATCTGTTTAAAGAAGGCTAAGTGATCCACCTGGGGCTGGGTTTCCCCCTGGTCTTGACTCACACTGTTAGCATTTTCCTTCCATTCAGTTCCAGAAGACTCTGATAATGAATCTGTGACCCACAATTCATTTGCACCAACACCATCTACAGAGGACTCCAGGAATCTTGGTTGGCTCAAATCCTGAGAAGAAAGACTTCTCCGGTGTGTGGTGCAGGTTGGCACATTGCCCTCGTGGGTTTCCCTGTGGACAGCAAGGGCTGGACCAGTCTCATCCTGAGAACTGGGAACCAAGACTGCCATATCTGAATGACCCTGTTCAGGCAAGGCAGCATCTGCTTTTACAGCATCAGGTAGAGCCCAGGCCTTGTCAGGGAGTATAGGACTAGGTTCTGCCTCCTTGTACTCAAGCTCCATTATTTGTGTTGGTGGCCAGATTTCAGAAACAGAAGCTTCTAGGGTTAAAACCTTCAGCTTCTTGCCTGCTTTCCAATTTTCTGCTCCAGTCTCTTCAGATTCTTCCAGCAGGATTTCAGAGAATGATGGAACATTGCTTAGTGCCTGGCTATCTTTTTCTACCGTTGCTTCTGCCACCACAGAGACATTGGTCCCCAAGCCTGATCTATGCCCTCTTTCTTCTCTGCAGTTTGCTAGGGAGTGCTCTAAGAGCACCAGGTTAGCTTCGCCTTGTGCAGCAGATGTGGGGAGCAAACTTTCTTGGAAATCATCTGCTAAAAAAGAACCCTGGTGGGACAGCCTCTCTGATTGGAGTCCTTTCTTTGTTTCATTTCCTTTTTCTTGGAAATCCTCTTCCAGGCTTTTTTCATCTGCTCTGACCATGGTCTGGCTCTTATCTCTAGACTGGTTATCAGTCTGAAGAGGGGAATTGTTACAGGAGCCCTCTCCTTCCAGGAGCAGGGGAACATGGCTGCCACAGACTGTAGGCACATTGGGAGCCAAGCAAAGTAGCTGTTTGGTAGATTCAGGTGTGGGACTACTTAAAACATGACTCAACTGTACATTGGAAGGAAAATTGAGGTTATTTTCATCTGGCGCACCAGGTGAGTTCTCCTGTGCACCACTCGGGAGGTTGTTCACAGAAATTGAAACAGCATGATGTGTGGCTGGGTGACCTTTGGTGGCAACAGTATCAGCTGATATGTCCTCAATCTTTCTGGTCTTTTGTAGACACTCAGCATTATCCATTAATGCTGTTAATGCTGTTGGCTTCTCCTGAGGGAAATTCACAACTGAACTATGACTGGCTGGTGTGTCTGTGGTGACTGAGGCACAGGTCCTAGGGCTCTTGTCACCTTGTTCAAAATGTACAAAAGAATTGTTCTCAGCAGAAAGGGGCTGGATTTCCCCAAGGCTTCCTGAGTCCTGGAGGCTCAGCCTCGCCCAGTCAGCCAAAGCTGTGGAAGACAAGATGGCAGTGGAGTTCTCCGCCTTGGCTAGACTTTCCCCTCTGCCACTTTTGGTGGCCTCCTGTGACATGTTCCAGGTTAAAGTACTGACAAAAAGAGGGGGCACTGCTGAGTTTCTATCCTTGCCGTTGTTGCCTGTGGACTGTGGGGGCTCAGAACATTGTGTTTGGAAAAGAACTGCCAGTGTCTTGTCATCAGGAGAATATAAATCACATACTTTGTTTTGACCTTCTGTCAGCTCAAAGTCCACGGAGCAAATATCTTGAGGCAAATATTTATCAACTGGTGTTCCAGCAGGAGAATCCACGGTATCATTACATGTTCCTTGGTCACCAGCTTCAAAACACTCCATCACACATGCTGCTTCTCTGTCTCTTGACCCACTGCACACATTTTCCAAGGTGAGGGCAGAATCTGTGGGCTCAGGGGAAGCAACAGAGAAGGTCTCTAGCTCCCTGGGCTCAGTGCTAGCATCCTGGGGGAGATGCACTGAGACCACAGCCAAGGGCACATTTCCACCATTTGTTTTTTGGGTGCTCAGCTCATGTTCTAGGTCTGCCCAGGAACCTGCAGCTGTGGTGCTGTCTCTGTCTTGTTTTTCTTCCTGCTGTGGACCTTGGGGACAGCTTTCTACCTCCAGGTATTGGGCCAATAATGCATCTTCCTTGTGGATTCCTCCTGTGTTGGAGAGGAAATTTGTTGTGGTCCCCATGAATGGAGGCTCCTCCCCAGTAGGCTCCAAAAAAGCTGGCATCTGGCTGAGAGAGATTCTTTCCCTGACCGTTTCCTGAATTTGCACCTAGGAAGATGAAAAGTGGTATTAATAGAATTGTTCCTGGGAGAGCCCACAGTGGGAAGTCACTGCAGTCCTGAGTGTTAATCCTCGATGACCATAATAATGGATAACAAGAGGAGCGGGAATGACTGAAATCTAAACATTAACTCCAAACTATAGCTCTTAGGGATTTCCTGGCAAACTGCAAATTTCAGCAATTACATGTTCCAGGAGATCCCTGTGCAAATTTACCATTATGACCAAAAAGCCTCCTGGCAATTATGACTTAGTTAATGATTTTTTTTCACTCTTTCTGAGGAAAAGAGATAGAAAATAAATCGACTCTCAATTTGATCAAATAAGTCAAAAAGCTGTGTTCATCTTTCTAGGACGATGAATTTCACGTGGCCATTATAAATGAAATACATAGTATTTACAAAGTAGAAATGAACAGTCCCTGTTGTCAAAATGTGACAGCTTGTGCAGCGTTGGTGGTATAGTGGTGTGCATAGCTGCCTTCCAAAATATGATGCTTGCTGGTTAATAATGTTTCTAAAGAACAGAAAGAGCCTGTTCTTTGAGTCCCCCTCCAGTGGGGGAATGGAGTTATGACTGGCCACCAGCACTGACAAAAATTTTTCCCAGAAAAGTTATAAAAATCTGGAAAGTCTCTAGGACTTTTAACAAACTTTATTTTATGAGAACATAAAACAAAAATTTCATAACAAAATAGTAAAAGAGTAACAATAGTTAATGCACTGTGTATGATAATCTTGAAAGTAGTTACTCAGAGTATAAGACAGACAAAAACTCTCTCTTACAAAGAAGAAAAAAACAGATAATAGCACAAAATTTTTAAAAGAGGTTCTGAGGTAAGGCAACCACCTCCACAAGAAGTAAGGGATTCAGGAATGCTTAGGTTGTCAAAGAAGAGGAAGAGAGAAAGGGAGGAAGGGAGGAAGAAATCTTACAATCTTAGGGCTGAATCCATGGTGGCACTGTCTGAAATATGATATTGGATATTGTTCAAGAAAATAGCCAACTCTACATTCTTGTCTCTTAAAACTTTTAGCCCATGACAAGACAAAGCTGAAACGTCCATGTACACAGGGAGCTCCAAAGCCCTGAAGATAATTTTCATAAACCACCTGTGAGAATGGGTCTTCCTACATTGTGTTCAGTGTCTATACCTGCTGCCAGTGGGAAGCAGGGTAACAATTTACTCACTTCTCTCTCCACGTTCCTCCAGGCCGTTGCTGCCTGCCCATCATTTATCTCACATTTTCTGTTTTTTAAGCTACACTGAGAGTCATTTAACTCTAATTTTATTGGCATAAAACTGCTGTTGTTTTTTTTTTTAACCAAAAGTGCACCAAAGGCAAAGAAGGAAGCTCCTGTCCCTCCCAAAGCTGAAGCCAAAGCAAAAGCTCTGAAGGCCAAGTAGGCAGTGCTGAAAGGCACCCACAGCCACAAAACGAAGATCCGCATGTCACCCACCTTCCTCCATCCCAAGACACTGTGGCTCCGGAGGCAGCCCAAATACCCTTGGAAGAGCACCCCCAGAAGAAACAAGCTTGACCACTATGTTATCATCAAGTTCCCCCTGACCATGGAGTCAGCTCTGAAGAAGGTAGAAGACAACAACACACTTGTGTTCGTTGTGGATGTCAAGGCCAACAAGCACCTGATCAACAAGCTGTGAAGAAGCTCTATGACATTGATGTGGCTAAGGTCAATACCCTCCACACGCCTGATGGAGAGAAGATTCCTGACTATGATGCTTTGGATGTTGTCCACAAAATTGGGATCATCTAAACTGAGTCCAGCTGACTAATTCTAAATACACATTTTTTTCACCATAAAAAAGAACTGCTGACTGAACAAGAAGAAAGTTAATATGAACTCCAGGAAGGCTACCATCATTTATTTATTTAACAAATATTTATTGACTCCCTCCCATGTACTAGGAAGTTTTCCAGGTAATGGAGATACAAGACAGGCAAACGCTTGTCTGTGGGGTGCTCTCATTCTGTCTTGTATTCAGGACTCAGTGTAATAAGTATTTGTTTGAATAATTAATAAATGAATGAATCATGTACCAACTGAGACGCCTCTTTTCAAGGTCACCCATTACACCTCTGTATTCAAAAGAGATTAAACTTGCATCTGTGCCTAATCCTATTTAGGTAGACTTCTAAGACTAATCATCACTGGTTCAAATCCTAGTTTATTCTCTTTCTAAATCTTTTTGTTCCCCTGATAAAATTAAGATGGGAAAGGAAAAACAAGAAAGATAATTTCTGAGAAGAAAGAACATAGGCTTTTTTAAGTGTCAAAGGAGCTGGCCACAGTGGCGCATGCTTGTACTCCCACTATGCTGAGAGGGCTGAGGCAAGGAAGTCTCAAATTTGAGCTCAGCCTAGGCAACTTAGCAAGACCCTTTCTTACAACACAAAATAAAAGACAAGAAAAGACTGGGGTTATAGCTCAGGAGAAAAGCCCCAGAGCGTGAAGGCCCTGAGTTCAGTCCCCAGTACCACACGCATACATACAAACACCAGGGTTTAATAACAAATGAAAGACACAGAACTTGCGAATAAGAAATCTTTGTTCCCCAAAATGCCTTCCTCTCTGTAACTGAATGGCTGTAACATACAGAGACAGTATTCTTTTCATTCATTATTTTGGGTCACAGTTTTTATGAGCTATAGCACAAATATACCTAATTTTTAAGCACAGAAAGCATGGGCAGCTTCCTGGTCATCACTGAGATGTGTAGAGTCTGCCCAGTCAAAAATACTACCACCAGCTGGGCACAGAGGTACATGCCTTAAATCCCAGCTGTTTGGGAGACTAAAACAAGATGATCACAAGTTCAAGGGCAGCCTATGCAACTTAGCAAGATCCTGTTTTCAAAATAAAATTTAAAAAGCACTGAGGATGTATCTCAGTGGTAGAGGACTTACCTCTCATGCCCAAGGTCCTAAGTTCAATTCCCAGAACCACAGAAACAAAAATCACTCCTACCTCTCTCAGGCTTCTCTATTTTGCCTGAGTCCCCAGTCCTCCGTTTTAAGGTCTTGCTATCATTACAGTCTCATCAGTGCCAATAGACATTTATGGAATAGCTGCCATGTGAAGAATTCTCTTCCATGCACCAGGCAATATTTTCCAAAGGGCTCTGTTTGAAAAGCTGCTGTGATACCTACTGAGATGATATCTTTATTTTTACCCTCCACGCTTGCGAGGCAGGCGGCGGAACCACTGAGCTAAATCCCCGGCCCTACGCCCCGATTATTGATGAATGCCGTATTAATAGAGTAATAGGCTGAAACCTAGGAGACACTAACATCCAGAGGGCCTGAAATGCTAGGCAAGTAAGTTCTGATTAGGATGAATTTGATCCCTGGACTATATTATCATAATATCATACCTTGACCCAGAAAATAGTCATGTTCCTCTTGCTTGTAAAATAAAAACCTACTTTAAAATACCTTAGTAGGGCCCCACATGTACAGACATACAGTGAATCCCTGACTACATAAATTCATTTAGTGAGTATCTACTGTATACCAGCCATTGTTCTAAACAGCTGAGAAAGCACAGTAAACATAACAAAGATTGTTGGTCTTTGGAGGTTAGAGTCAAGCAACAAACTGTACAACTGGTCCACTGCTGATATGAAATCCTATACATTTTATTTTAAGCAATGAGATTTTTTTTCAAAGCACAGCCTTAGCAGCCTAGTTCCTACTTGTCAGGGCTTATAGCCTCAGTTCTAAGAGTAGGCTCCTTGCCCCTCATTCAGGAGCCAGCTTGTATAGCAAGGGAAACTGTAGGCTTTCTGATGAGTTAGGAGTAGATCTATTATTCAAGGGAGGACAAAAGAAAGACTCCAGCAAATGATTCTCCACCCACTCGACTGCCCTCACCATGGCATGAGTGATAAGACTCAGGAGGGTTTGTTATGTGGGAAAATTGTTCTCATGCAGGTGAAAAGAAGAAATGTTTGGGAAGTGAGGAGGGACATACTGTCATGTGGTGCATGGTCTGGGAGGGCTGGCAACCTGGATTTGTAGCTCAGCTTAATGCACTATGGCCTTGTTATACTACAGTAGCGTATTATACTATGACCCTCTGCCACCTCCTCAGGCTAACCAGCACCATCCTGCCAAGGGCCTGGCATAGTGCCTGGTACCTGGAAGGTACTCACTGACATTAGTTTCCCTTGTTCTCTGTAAAAAGAAAGTGGAGCTAAAGCAAAGAGGAAATTGGCCAGAACTCTGAGTTATATGTTTTATAAGGGTTTTCTCATTTGTCTGAAAAATAAATCATGAAGATGCTCTTACCTCTTCTTTACTGATGAGGTGAGTAGCCTGGCTCAAATAAAGAGATAGCAGCCACACAGTGGGTTATGTAAGAGAAGGGGAATGTAAAGAATTGGTAACCAGGATGGAAGAGCACTGTAAGATATAAGGAGAGTCTCTCAGGCACATTAGGTTGAGGAAAAGTAACAGAGAAGGATGAACTTGGAAGAGGTTCAGTAGTAGTAGGAGAAGGTGTGGTTAGGCCACCAGATAGCAGAAAATTTTGCTGGTTTAACCAGGCCACAACCAGAATGGAATTGCTGCCCAATCAATAGATGCAGGCAGGGACTAGGTGGCTACATACAGTGGATGGGTGGGGGTGGGAGGTCTGCAGGGGGAACAACTGCTCCATACACATTAGCCTCTGGTGGCTATTTGTGGGGCTTGTGGTAAGAGCCTGGGTGTTCATGAAGACAGAAAGCCTCAAAGCAGATAGGTTATGGAGGCCATTGCCTTCCAAATAGAGAAGGCTGCAGGAAGTTGTCACTAGACTGAGGGTGCAAGGTCACAGGACCACGTTCTGGGTCCTGAAGTTGGGGCAGACTCTATGGATGGCCACGTACCCCTCTCACCAATCACAGCGGTGCTGAAGTGATAAGAATCCTCTTCCGCTCTAAGTGTCCTTCCACTATCCTGAACCCTGCTTACTTTAGAGGG